CGGAACCAGTCGTATACCATTCTCCAACAATCGTATAACATCATGGTACCAGTCATATAAATCCCCGGTAACTGTATAATATCGCGGAACTAGTAGTAGAACATCCCCGACAATTGTATAATATCGCGGAACCAATCGTATAACATCCCCGACAATCGTATAATATCGCGGAACCAATCGTATAACATCCCCGACAATCGTATAATATCGTGGAACCAATCGTATAACATCCCCGACAATCGTATAATTACGCAGGACTAATAGTATAACATCCCCGACAATCGTATAATATCGTGGAACCAATCGTATAACATCCCCGACAATCGTATAATATCGCGGAACCAATCGTATAACATCCCCGACAATCGTATAATATCGTGGAACCAATCGTATAACATCCCCGACAATCGTATAATATCGTGGAACCAATCGTATAACATCCCCGACAATCGTATAATATCGCGGAACCAATCGTGTAACAGCCCCGACAATTGTATAATATCGCGGAAACAATCGTATGATATCGCAAAACCAATCTCATAACATCCCAGACAATCGTATAAAATCGCGGAACAAATCGTATAATGTCGTGAAACCAATCTTATAACATCCCCGACGATCGTATAATATCGCGGTACTAATAATTGAACATCCCCGACAATCGTATAATATCGCGAAAACAATCGTATGATATCGCAAAATCAATCTTATAACATCACCGACAATCGTATAATATCGTGGAACGAATCGTATAATATCGCGGGATCGTATAACATCCCCGTAAATCGTATAATATCGCGCAACAAATCGTATAACATCCCCGACAGTCGTATAATATCGCGGAACAAATCGTATATTATCGCAAAACTAATCTGATAACATCCCCGATAATCGTTAACTTCGCGGAAAACTTTTGTTGTCAATATAAAGTGACCAATATCCTGAGTTGCGCTCTATACGCTGTTGTTATATTTGACCCCAGATCAAAAATTAAACCGTGGTTAAAGAACATTGAGTGGTGTGAAAAGAATAAGTATTGTCGCAGTTAAAACAATGGGACACCACGGATAACAAAAATGGGGAAATGAGGGGTGGACCATTACAGATTCTAGGGGTGGCAGACAAAGTTTGCGAACTCTTCCCTTCATTTCTTATAATGAATTATCTGTATTTTTTCTTCTACTTGATATTTTTGTTTTCCCAACAATAGGCGTGAAGCTTATTTGTTCTGTTATTGATTCCTGTGAGATTTATTGCTACGTTTTTGTTTGTTCCAGTTATTGAATTACAAGTGTGATCCGTTTCACTTGATACTATTACAGTCTAATGGATTATAACGAGTATGTGACTGATATGACGCTTTGGAACAGTGCCATAATGTGTTCTAGCATTCGATCTTTAATAACATGAAAATGATTCATTACAACATACTGTTTGAACACTGTTACTCGGTTTATTTTAACACTGGCTTGTGTTTGTATAAAGTATACAGTGTAGATTATGAAGCAATTAATCAATGAAAATATAAAAAAAACTTAGTCAATATATAATGGTGGAATCTATCAATAATCATGTCAACCATAAAATAAGGTCATTCAAGACCGAGGTGACCTAGGTGACCGAATCCGGATTCGGACACTTAATTTGGAGTTTACTTTGCAGGACCGACGAGCTTGAAATCTACTCGCAAATTGACGCCTGGGATTTCGTGCATAATATATTTGTCAATGTATCAGCGGCAAAGTATAATGATTTTCAAAATATGACTGTACTGACACCAACAGGTGGTCAGAGGATCTTGCATATGAAACGACTGCGTCAGAGTCCCCTGAATCGACTTCATATCAAATGTGTGGGACAGTGTTGATTGGCGTACACTAAACCAGTTTCTTGTCTTAGCAGGTTATATGTTTTGTGCATTGACTTTTATAATTGGTTAGACGCGGTGAGCCCATTGTTTTAGTAAACGTCTCCGTCCGAGCCTTGAGTGGAGACCTTTGTTCGAAATATAATACTCCAAAACAATACGTGTCGCAGGAAAGATATCGATCGTGTGGTTATCGCCCGGGGTTAGCACACCAGAAGTCGACAACACTCATAAATCAGCATAAAACATGCGAAATCACGCTCCCGTGTAATATATATATACTGCAGCGGAATGACCAGGGTTTCGAATCCTAATGAGGTTGTCTAAATACTACAGTGACTGCCTTGTTATCGTCTGAACACGTGGTACGGAATAACCAATGAAAACGCGACATTGCACATGGTGTTGTGACAGGTTTTATATGTGTTGTTCTGACCTTGATTGTACAAGACTTAAATTGTGCGCAGAATTATATTATATTTTGGGACAGTGTGGTATGGAGAATGGCGTCTGCTTACAGTGCCGAGGTGCGTTTGTCGAGTTGCGAATGTGAATATCGTGTTTTATTGTTATATGTAGTTACTATCACATTCGTTCGTATCCTGAGTGACCATATCGACCATGTGAAATTCAACATCAACATCGGCAGCACAACAGTTACTGTTACGACCTGCGACTCGTCGATGGGATAGGTGGAGACTTCAGTCTTAGCACATGTTTCTCATGTCACCCACATTACACAACAACGATGTGGGGACTAAGAGTCAAAGTTCAAGATCATAGGATGTCTTTGTGTACAATGTAATACAACTATAAAAATAAAGGAAAAATAAGTGTGTTACCTTCGTTTTTGCCATAATTGCCACGCCATCGACATAATATTCACAGTTCATTCCACTCTTTTCCAATGTCCACATGGTTTTGCAAATCTATATTATTAGGTAAGGTTAAAATTAGGTTTAGAAAAACGTTTTTTCGTGCTCACCAGCTTTTCCATCCCATGTATCAAACCATCCGGATCCAACAAGTGTAATTGTAAATTTTATTTTCAGAAACATCAATAAATGGATAAATACACTGCAGTTCAGAAAGGTTTCTTACCACGCACTCACACCCTGCTAGTAAAAGTTCTGCAAATCTGTTATTAACTTTCAGCTATTACTTATATTGTCCGTCACAAATTGACTACTACTTCACATCAAGTCTACCTTGTACTCAAGTTTTGAACATTATAAGGTTATACCATTTTATGCTTCGTTTCTTTGTTCGAAACATTCTCAGTTCGAGTTTCTTGTTTTAAACTGTTTCTTTGTTGAACATCCCGCTCTTGTTAATTATTCGAATGTCGCCGCTATTGTTAATATAAATATTCAATTATTTTTTCATAGCTGGCACTACTTTTCTCCAGAATCGGACAGTTTCTTTGTTGTTGCTTCTTGTTACAAACTGTCTGGATTTACTGATTGATCAGGCAGTATCATAATGAAGTAGTTCTCTCTTGATGAATACGAGAGAGTGCAACACACACCTTACTTTTTAGAAGAAGTGTTGTTGTTTTCTAGTGCCAAGACCCGACACACTTTATTTAGATCTGCCAAGTTGCGGGTAGTTTTTTTTTAGCTAATCATCGGCCCATCTACATAAAGGGAGTTATATGAGATATGCACACACTAATCAAAATTGGTTTCTTGCATTTTGAAGTTTTTTCAAACAAAATACGAGCTATTTTGATAAATCTCACTTATATCTACATTAGCAGTTGTTGTCCCGGGATCCTAGTGGTGAGTATTGAATGAGTTACTGTGTTTTATGGTGTGATTAAAACATTGGATAGCACCTTTAATAAACATAAACAATACCGCATTCACCCTCTTCAAAAATGAAGGTCTGACAATATATCCAGAAAAGTGGGGTTGTTTATACACATCTTATTTCCTTGCAGAGTTACGTGAACATAGCAAGCAAAATCTGTCAATTTTAATATAATTAATTTGATTTGCTATTGCCGATAAACAGCAGTGCGCCATCAAACAATATACCATGCATACATCCATTTGCAAGTTAGTTCATTGTATCAACTCATTAGCCCTGTTCTAAACAAATGGATCGCAATAGAAATTATAACATTCATGTTAGTCATATGAATTGAATAATTGTATAACTCAAATACCCAAATTGGTCATCGCTTATAAACTTATCGACGGAAACTGGTGGAAATTTGTTGTTTATATAAAAGAAACCTTAATTGACGTTTAGAGGCACTTAAAATCGATTCTTTCAAATATTCAGACTACTTGCATTGGGGTGAACGTATACTTATATAGGTAAAAATCGATATGTTTTATTCAAGAAACCTGACCTGCATATTATGCATATTACCGGTTCCCGCTGGAGTGGCTGAAAATAGTAACATGACACACGCACGTTATGACCACATACCAAGAGCGTAGAACCCCCCCCCTCCACTTTTGCGCTATAACTTCGTTATTGTGCTTCCACTGAATGTACGCTATCGGCAGGTGCACACGTACGATAGCTACCAGTTCAGTACAATCATTTGTCTCACATACAATTCATTGTATAGTATAAACTCTGACATACAGCGTATTGAATAGGTGTGCTAAACAATTCTGTCAGTATTGTCTCTTTTTTTTCGGTGGCTGATAAAGAGACATGTACAATTTCAGTGTCCCCACTTTAGTGTGCAGATATAAAATACGAACAACCAGCTGACATAACAGGAATTGTTCTAAATAAAATTTAATGACTTGTAGAAGGTCGGTAGGTGTCTCGGTATATATCTGACGTAATTCTAAGGTGATGTGCTCGGGGATTTACGCTCTCATTGTGATTGGTTAGAAGCGTAATAAGGAAGTAAACTAACGTAACTATGAGAAAACAAAACGACCAGTCGCTGAGTATAACAAGATGGCTCGTTTTGTGTGTTCTACGCTGATTCTAATCGCCATAAACTGTGTATTTCACACATACGGACACACTACGATTAGCGACAACGGTTATGACGGCATTGTGGTAGCGATACATGCTGATATTTCCGAACACCAGGATCTGATAGATAAAATAAAGGTACGATTTTCACTGCTTACGTTAAACGACCAAGCGAGGGTGAAGTGGGAAAATTTCACTCATCTTGAAATACCGTTTTCCCGGTAACAAATACAATTCGATAGTTGTGCAGATTTGTTCTGTTATCTGATTCATCACATTTCATACAATTATGTATTATTGGTATATGCTTATGTTCTACTATTGTCGAACTGAAAAACCATTGTACATTGTATTTGTCATTGAATTATCTCGCTTGCACGGCAGTAATTAAAACTCGAATGTAAAAACAAATCCACTTTATTACTGAGACGAAAGGGCTGTGGAATGGTGTCTTATTGTTGGCAGGCATTCGAGCTTAAGTTTACCAGGGAAAACAAAGAAAGGGCATACTATTGTTTGTACATTGTCGTGATGTTTAATGCATGACTGGTGTGTCTGAGCGTACAGGCGGTCATCACGTAAATTGGCAACAAAGCACGACAAATCGCCTAAACAGATGATATCTGATTGTTTCAAAATCATTTATCCTATGTGGAAGGTCCCTTTATGAATTGATTACTCAAATTGATATATGGCGTGTGCTACCGGTAGGGTATGCAAACACCTAATACCACTTTTTGGTCTTAACCTTGAGGTCCATATATCATTTCCTCGTACATTAAATGTTGTGAATGTTCCGAGACAAACCATTTCCCCTCGTGTAGCACATTAATTTATGTACTACTGTATACAAATGTACATTCTTCTAAGTATTGTATATAGTTATTGTTATATGCTCGTTTCACTTTGTTAAAATCCCTAAACGACTGTTTTAGGTATGTTAGTACTTTTATTTTCTCTAGGATGCCTTCACCGATGCATCAGCATTTCTGTATACGGCAACCAATAATCGTGTTTATTTTCGAAATATAACTATACTGGTGCCAACAGAATGGTCGGAAGATCTTGGATATGTAATGTCTACATCTGAAACTTATGAAACTGCCAATGTCCGTGTTGACAAAGGAGCTGGGACTGACAATAGGCCATACACACACCAGTCGGTCTATGCGGGGAGTTTGGTCAATATATTCGCTTGACTGACAAGTTTTTTACTGATGCGTCTGTTCCAACTAATCTAGGACCTCTAGGTAATATGATTGTTTATTCTATAATAACACTTATATAGTAGCTGATAATGATTATATCATTTCAACCACACTCAGTGTTTGATCGTGACTTAGTTTTGACTAATCTTAAATCAAACCAGCGGTATCCGCTTCGCCGATTTCACAAATTAGCCTTTAATTAAGTCACCCGGAAACGCCATTTTTTTATGTCCGAATACGAGTAGGTTCAACTAGAAAATGTAACTGCCAAACGTCTGTGTTTGAAAAAATAGTGGAAATTGATTCAAAAGTTCAGGGAGCCGAAATTCCTGTCCTGTTTTAGTACCAGTGCGTCCAAGTCAACGAAAGCGTCTTAATTATATTCACGCAGTTAGACCTCGGTGGTTTGACGGGTATCTCCAGAAAAATGAATCGTTGCGTAGTCATGATGTTATGAATTACGGCGTTATATGATCCCATTGTTACTGTAATTATAGCGTAATGGCGTATTTTACTTTATTCTCTACCGCCGATCCAGCGTTTTAGCAAACTTTCAAAGTTGCGTAATTACAATTTTATGAATTACGGCGTTATATAATCCCATTGTTACTATAATTATAGCTGTGAATATTTGTAGAATGCGGACGTAATGGTATTTTTCTTTGGATTCAGCGTTTTATGAATATTAAAGAATGTTAATCTACATTTTATTATTCCGGTTAATGTTTGATAGTCTACTGAAGTGTGTATGTAAAAAGTGAACGAAATCTCAGTGAATATTGAGAAATATTGAACTTGCTGTCAGTGAAGCATTACTGATATCACAGTCCCTCTATCCCGGTCTGGAAGCGGCTATTTTCTAAGGTGTGAATTACCACCAGTGCTCGGGCAGCCCGGGGTATGCCTTTCCGCGAAGCATAGTCTCTTGTAGCAGAACATTCCGTTGAAACGATCGATGCATTGTTCTCTGCATATTCTAGTTTTTACAATCGAAAAAGACCATATATTTTGATACTTTATGTAGATTTAGAAGCTCAACACAATTCTTTAGATGGCAAGTCTTTCTATAGTAGCATATTGACATTATTATTCGTGGATAGTGCAGTTAAGTTTGAAGTACTCTGTCAGGGATCGCAACATCGAACACTTCTAAACAAACTTGATCGGTTGGCCCCTTCTATTCGTCATGTGTTTTAGAGAGATCGATGTTTTTTCCATTTATTGAATAGCTGAAACCTAGTTGTAATTGGTGAATATGTTTATTGTGTTTGTTTTATTGTAATATATACAGTAAATGTTTCATGTTTAGGCATTCACTTTTTCCGTTCAAAATAAAGGTGGCGAATTAGAGTGCCATTAGTTTTGTTTTCAAGCATATATTTGGAATGTAGTTTACAATGTTGGTGACATCATGTCTCTAAGAAAAACAAAATAAAACTAAATACTGAGAAAACGAATATTTTGGCATGCCATAATAAATGAGATTTGCTTCCCCTCAAAGCGTATAATACTTTAATTTCTGTCAACAGTGATGTACGTAATCTAGGTGTTATGTTTGATATATATTTGAATATGGCAAGTAGTAACATAGTCATCATTTTATCATCTGTATAGGATTTCCCAGATCAGAAAATACCTTTCAACAAAAACTACCGAGTTTATTGTTCATACTTTTGTTGGACTGAGATTGGATTGCTGCAATAGTTTATTGTATGGTATAATGAATGCCCAAATATCTAAATTGCAGAGGTTACAGAATGCAGCTTGTAGAAAAGAAAATGCGACCATATTACACTGCTTTTATTTCTCTTCATTGGCTTCCAGTAAAAGATCGTATTGTATATAATTTGTTGTTGTTAGTAAACAAAACCCTTCGCAGCCGGTCCCCCAAATATATTACCGAAATGTTTCATTAACATGTGTCACTTTTGTACACTATAAAGTAATACTCAAACTTACTTGCCTGTACATTATCACGTTTTATTAGTAACATGTGCTGATGGGGCATTTTCTGTATGCGGTCACATTAGTGGAATGCCCTACCAAAACATGTAAAAATGGAACAATATTAATGATTTTAAGATACATATGAAAACTTATTTGTTTAAGAAAGCATATAATCTGTACTTATTCTTTCTTTAGTACAATTTGTAGTTTTTTTGTCATGCGATATTAACGGAGACATGTGAGACGGATAGTAATAAGCGATTAATATCATTTTAATGTGTTCTCTTATATTCAGAACCGAGTCAAATACTGACCGACTCAAACCAATAATGTTGTTACAGATCATTTGTTGAATCTTTTTTACTATCATTTAAGCGATGAATATCTGTGTTTTCTTAAAATTGTTAATTTGAAAGTGACGTGTTTTCATTGTTTAAACGTATTTTCGACAATGTCCTAAAGTACGAAGTTTCTATTCAGAGTGTTACCCTAAGGTAACCAAAGCCGTGTGACTTTATTATTTATAAACCTTAATATACTGAAACAACAGTTACTCATGATTTTGGTTGTTCTAATTTATGTCTGATTGATGCTTCGCGGAATGGAAGGAGGCACCGATTACAATCCAATCGTCTTGTTTGTAGTTGAATAAGATTTATTCATAATAGAAACGTTGAGGATTTATATGTATTTTATAATCATAGGTTTGTTGACTTTAGTCGATATATTCGTGTTATTCTTTTATCCAGGTAAAGTAATAGTTCATGAATGGGGACACCTACGTTGGGGGTTATTTGACGAATACACAGTTGATGAAGATGAAAGCCATTTCTATTTTGACGCAAACGGAGAACTTCGTCCAGTTGCCTGTCATCCACGGATAACAGGGAGTAATCCTTGTGAAGACAGGGGTGCAGATGAATTACCATTGCCCGATTGTGTGTTTCACCCTAATCATGCGCAACCCGATGACTTACCTATCAAATCGTCTATTATGTTCGCCCAGTGGATTGACGCGGTAAGTTGCCGCATACGACTTATTTACCACTTCCGTGTCACTGAGAATGTTCTAGAACCGTACTGTGTCTGGGTGGAATATTCTAGATTTTTTTAGAAACTGGTTGAATAGGTAATAGAACACTGTAGGAGGCAATAGAAAGTAATGGAACATTCTAAAAATTTGTAGTAAGTTCCAGACTCATTATGTATGCTGATGTAATGGTCTATTTATAGACAGTGGGGATATATAGAGGAGTTGTTCAGCACTGAGATCAGATCGGAGATCTCGTTGAATTGTATTGGAGTTTAAGTATCTAGTCATTGGAGTAGTGGAGTTTTACCGCGTTATTGTACTTGATGTTTGCAGAGTATAATAATACCAGTACCAGTTGAAACTTCATCGTTCGTATTTTATCATCGCCGCCAGGGAAGTCTTTCTGTTACTGTTGCCATTTTGGTATTTGAACCATCACACCTACTATACCAATTACGGTAATATTACGTTGCGTGTGACATAAGTACTTGGGGACATTTCATACATTTGTTCAAATGCATTCGATACTGAACACGTTGATATTATGACGTGAACAACGAAGATGGGGACCTTAATACGGGAGATAAACATATAGTTTTCACGACCGATTAACGATCACGCAATACTCGAATTATGGACTAAGCATTCGTGTTACTAGGATCACGATCACGCTTTAACATAGAAAGAAGGTAATTCTATGTAGTTGATGTACATGTATATTTGGATGTGAAATTGTTAGGGAAATGTAAGTTATAAGCCCACAGTGGCGAGATAAAAAAATATTTTCCGTCTAAGAGACTTTCGTATAGTCAATATCTTTATCTTCTGGCAAATATGCAAAGTTTGCTTATTTGATACAATTTTGCAGATTTTGTTTAAATTTGGTGCAACGATAGTTATTTTGGGTTTTCAATAAATTTATTAAAAAGACTAAAGTCACAAAATGTTTACTGTCATGGCATGAGCGTTACATATGATGGCTTTCTGGTGCATGTCAGTTTGTGTTATGATTTGATTCCAGTGGCTGACTGGCGGCCATGTTTGGTTTTATGTTCTTGACACAAAGTCAAGCGTAGTGGTTCTCCCTGACCTGTTCATTTCTCAATGTTAAGTCATTTTAAGTCAACGTTGTCATTTTTTGAAAAAGAATGTTAATTTGACATTGTATCTGTAAGTACTTTGTGGAAAAAAAAACACAATTATATCGTAACGATAACTTCAAATCTCTAATTTAAGTAAATGTGTTTGTCATTTTGATTAAAAACAGGCTAGTTTCAAATTCTTATTGAAAACGGCTAATCTAATTTTTTTTATATGTTCCTTGGGTAGATCTTTACATATTTATGCATTCATGGCGATAACTTCATATTCTTCTTTCCGTGTATCATTTCCAGGTTGAGGAATTCTGTCATGACGACCCGTCCGATGAGTATAGTTATCACAACAGAATGGCTCCGAACAGACAGAATCGAATATGTAGCGGTCAGAGTGCTTGGGGAGTCATGCTAAATCATACTGACTTCAAAGATGGTAATAACCCTACTCGAATCATTGACGATACGACTCCTAATTTTATCATTAAACGGAGCGGAGTTCGACGAGTGGTCTTGGTACTTGATACATCTGGCAGTATGGATGTAAGTTGACTTTATACTATGCCAGACGATTATTCAAAGCCCTATCTAAGAGATATTTACCTTGACACGAAACTATTGTAACTGCTTTGATTACAATTTACGGTAACGACAGTGAATGTTTTATATAATTCATGGCATCCTAGCTCAGCCATAGAAATATAAGATTGCGTATTATTCGCCCTTACCAATTCAATGCTGCTTCACCTATTCTTTGGATAACATCTTAAAATCCGTGGATTAGTGACACGTTACCAGTATGCCTATACTACTTAAATAAACCATTCAACAAAATATCATATTAATCCTATTTTCTAAACAAAGAATCGTTATGTGAGGTGTTTATATATACCTTACAAGTTTATGTCACACAAGTCGTTAAATACCTGTCGAGTCAATTCTAATCAATGTTATTAGCTGTGACGAGTACAGTCAATCTTTCTGATAGTATCAATTAGAGTGTATATTTTCGTCACGTAGCAACCAGCGTAACAATTGTTCATAGTCATATCCCCAACGATACATAGATCCCAACACTATTCTTTGAAGATGTGGAATACTTTGTGTTAGAATACCTGCTACATCTAATTGGCACGTCAAATTCTTGCGTAGATATTTTTTCTGGCAAATTTTCCTCTACTCTTGTGTTGATTGTCAGTAATTGGACAATTGCCAGAGTGTCTTCAGTGGCGTTATAAGTCATGCCCCAGTATGTTTACAGGTGAGTGAATTGTATACCTTCATTAATTAAAGCATAACTAGATATTCACTGCTTGTAATATTAGATCTGTTTAATTTGTTTAAAAGATTCCTCTCATTAGTAAATAGCGCCCTCACTCAACAATATTTAGAATGAGCGGTTGGTCAAAAGTTTGATGAGTCAGGTGCATCTATTGGCTAAGCTTGTTTACATAGATGCAAATGAGTATAGGAACCATTAATGCTGTAGGGTGTACTGGGAGGGTGGAGGATTTCATGTTTGTAATGACTGGTTGTAATGCGGTATCTCGTTGTTTTCAAGATGCAGCCTGATATTTGTTGCTTTCTTTGTTGTTCAATTGTGGCTAAACTTTGTGTGGTGGGTGGATGATGTGTTTATAGTTTGTTGAGTCATTGTTTAGACACCCTGCAGCTTGAAATGGTTTGGTCCAAATCCAAATTGACTGCTTTGTGTTTGTTCAACACACTCCCTGCCCCACAATACAATATGTAGTTTCCCCGCCAGTTGTATACTGTCTTCAATGGTATTTGCTATATGTACACACAGGTTATTTGTATTATTTATGGCACAGTTACAAGGGTCTGGAACCGAATCTCTACAAGTATTCAATAATTCACGTCGATACCATACGCTTCTCACTTGCAATCAATTCAATGTTCGCATAAATTAAGTAATAACATGTACCTTCTTTGCCTCAAAACACATAACTGTCAGTGAAATGGTGAAGATATTTGCTTCATCGCTTTATACGCTGTACTTTACCGAGGCATTGATGGGTCATCAAATTCATACCTCGCGTGAATTCACGAATTATTTACACACCGCCGCTAGTTCAAGTTGTCGCGCAAGAGTCTAAGCTCCAAGATAATCAATTCCATCTCTTCCAGAAATAATTTTTTAACTTATCACAAATCATACGCTAGATTGTAATCAAGTTGGGGATGCATTCGTACAATTAGTTAAATCAATACAAGGGTCCGGCTCACTACGTCATACAGTCACCTTAA